CGTGCTTCCTGAGAATCATCGACAAGGCTCACCAGATAACCCTGGCAGTTGCCTCGTCGCAGCAACTTAGTGGCTTTTGCCATCGAAACAATATGAAGCAATGAACGATTCTTGGAGCCAAAGAAAGTGATCGACTCGTCTCCCGGAAGATAAAGAGTAATCTCCCAGTCATGACATCTGATATCTGCATGATAAAAGGATAGCCAATCCATTCCGAGAATAAGGTCGAAATCCCTCATCTCGAGAACAAACGCGTCGGTAGACAATACTCGACCACCGATGGGAAGGCTAAGATCTGAAGCTTTAGCTGAAGTCACTATCTTTCGTCCTGAGGCTAAACTCACCTCGAGAGGATCGACAACGGTAACGGCATGAACTCCGATGGCATCAAGACATCGTCGCGAAATGAAAGAATGTGTCGCTCCAGTATCGAATAAAGCAAACACATGAACATTATTAAGAACAACCATCCCTGACATAGTACCTGACTGCTGCTCGGCCTCTGCCTGATCAACTGCATAAACTCGGGCCTGCTGTCTGCCCCTCTGCTGCTGCTGCTGAGGCTGCCTATGAGCCTGCTGACGGGGCTGCTGCTGCTGCCGTGGCTGCTGAGGCTGCTGAGGCTGCTGCGCCTTCTTCGGACAACGGTTCGTGAAGTTTCCGGGCTCGTGACAGTAGTAACAGATATCTTGGCCGAAGCGACACTCGCCTCGGTGAAGTCGTCCGCATGTCGGGCACTGTGGGATCTGTTGTAGCCTCCGCCGGGTCCTCTTGTCCATCGGGGCACCTTTCCTCTTCCTCTTGTTAGTCTTCGGTGGCTGGGCAGATGGTAGAGCTGGCATCGGTAGAACTAAAGCTGACTGAGCAGGGGCGGATGGCTGGGACTGATCACGGACGGCCTCCCTCCTGATGCTTGCGTCCACCTCCTGAGCAATCGAAACTGCACGAGCGTACGTCTGTGTCCCATGGCCTACGATGTTATGACGGACTGCTGGGTAAAGCCCGTCAATGAAACGTTGTGCTCTCTGGGCCTCCGTGCGAAACAAATCAGGAATGAAAGCTGCAAGTCTAGTGAACTCCCTCTCATACTCGTCAACAGTACGAGTACCCTGCTGGAGCGATAGAAACTGACGCTCCATCTCTGCTCGGTAGTAGGTGGGGTAGTACTTCTCACGGATTAGCTCCTTGAGCATCTCCCACGTACATCCCGCCTTCTCGCCGGGACGCATACTCCAGTAGGCATTCCACCAGAGTTGAGCATCACCGGTGAGCTGAAGCTGAGCGCAAATTACGCGATATCTATCAGGGCAATCCATGACCTCGAAGATAAACTCCAGGCCCTGAATCCATTCGTCTAGATGCGAGGATCTCCCTGCCATGAGAATTTCTCGGCATGATAGTCGCGGAACTGTGCGACTACTGTGGCCTGAGTAGGAGCCGGATGATTGGGTTCCCTACGGGGCGACATCTGAACATTGGAAAAGTTCAACATTATTGAAAACGTGATAATATTCTGACTGATTACTAAGGCACACAAATCTCTTGACGAGTCACCGAAAATGGCCGATAAATACTGACGTGAATCCTGAAGAACTCTAGAGTCATATCAAAAGATACTAAATTCTAGAGTCAAGCCTGAGTATACTGATCTCTAAAGTCATGTCTGAATATACTGAATTCTAGAGTTATACCTGAACTCTAAAGTCTGAATCTGATTCGAGCATCTTAACTAAGTCTGATTACTGATTTCTGAGCATAGACAAACTAATATGTTTATAACTGAAAACTGAATCAACACTTACCTGTAGTCGGAGAGGCGTGAGCGTGACGGTTCAGGTTTTTCTGAAAATTACTGACTGAAAAGCTTTTCAGAGACGCAGAAACGTGCTCTGATACCAATTGTAACATCCCGACTTTTTAATACTATCAGAGTACGCGTTTTTCGCAATTTTTCTGAATAAATAAATAAAATATTTATTTTGCGAAAACTGATTCGGGATGCTACCGTGAAAAACTTGATTTTTCTGAAAACCGTTAAAT